CCTGTCCCAGGCCACACGGCGCCCAGCTCCCTGCCTTTCTTGCCCTTTTTCCTAGACAGCAGCACTCTGGGTGGTAGGAACAGGCCTTATGCTGGCTACCATCTCAGCTGCTCTGGGTGCCACCCAATGGTTCCCCAGGAGACAGCACTATGTGCTTAGTGGGTGTCCCTGGGGAGCTAGGAGGTCAGCCTGGGGTGGGGCCTGTATTTAGATTCCCATGGGAATGCTTGCCGCTCCTGACATTCCAGAAAGACCCTGAGGCCATAATCCACCTCCTGAGCCTGGCCTCTGCATTGGCTCCTGTGGGGCTCGTTGGCTGTCCTGGTAGGCACTGAGCAGGGCAGGTGCTGGGGGAAGAGGAAGAAGAGGATGGCTTCCAGTAGCAACCAGCCTGCCCTCCTGCGGGAGGCATCGGGGCCGGGCTGCGAGCTGAGCTCCGCTCAGAGCCCTCGAGTGCCCGCTGCTCTCTGGTCTTGGGATGGGAGGGAAGGCTGGGGGTAACAAGACCCTTCGCTGGTCTACCCAAGCCACGTGAGGGCCCACTGGAAGGGGAGAGAGGATTTCTTCAGGCTCGCCACAGAGTCAAGGAAGACTTGAACTGGGGCATTTGGTGGCTTACAGGTTTGGTTTAGGATCTCTGCCAGAGGTTTGCTGGGTGGCCTCAGACAAACTCTGTACCTTCTCTGGACTCCTGGTTTCTTCATTTGGATTAAATAGATGTGGAGGGCTCTTCTCGGTCTTCCAGGCCTTCCGTTGCTGGCCCTTCTTTGCCAGGGCCTGGGAAGCGCACTTAGACACTCCAGAGCAGTGGGTGAGGAAGGGGCCTCAGACAGCTGGGGCGGGGTCAGGTTGCGGGGTGGGAGCCGAGGGCCGGGGACTGAGGAGCATCTCAGCCAGGGCAGCTGGTAGACAGGCCTGGAAGCGGGGAACAGCTGGAGAAGTTTCTGCGTTCCTTGCCTGCCCTTCCCTGGGTGTGCTCATGGCATCGTGGCCGCTCCCCAGGGACTGTCTCCTCGCTGAGGCAAGAGGGACCTTGTGAACAGAAAGCTGGTGGCAGGTGGGTGTGAGGGGTGGCAGGAGAGGGCCCAGCTCGGGCTCTGGAATCATAATCCTGCCCTACTGACCCAGTATTCCTGTCACCCAGTGCCGGAGGGTTACTGGAAACAGACAAGGCCAGGGAGAGGAATCATGGCTTCCAGGCTCAGATCAGCTCCGTGGGAACACAGACCTAGGCCAGGAGGGGTCTGCCCACATGGGCAGGATGTCTTGCTACATACCCCCTTTCTCTTTGTACATCACCCCCCATCCCCACGCCATCGCCATGTCTTACCAGCATGTCCACAAAGCTCCAGCCCTAGACTTCAGCTCTCAGGTTGGCCGGCACAGTGGGAGGACCTGTGGGCACCCAAACTCAGATGACTCCTTTCATCTTCATGCCCTCTCTTGTCCCAGCCAGGGCGGCCTAGGTAGCAGCTAGCCAAGCCCTAGAGTTAGTGCTCCAAGCTCAGGTGTCCATCTGTGTCCCCTCATCTCCCACACTCTCTTGGGGCAGTGACACCTTGGCCACACCACAAGGTCATTGTACCAGAGAAAACCCTCTCCTTGTTCCAAGGGAGTCGAAAGCAGCAGCAAGAACCGAGAGGCATGCCATGCCTCTCCGGCCCAGCTGGCTAGAGTGCACCCCACACCACCTCACTAGAACCCCCTGTGGTGAGGGGCTGGAGGGTGGGAAGGTTTACTCAGAGGCAGTGATGGGCTGGGGGCAGGAGGCTGCCTCCAAGCCAGGCCGGCCCACATGGCATCCTAGCTGTGTGTGGAGGGCCATCCCCCTGTCCTGACCTGAAGCCTGGTGAGCCTGAGATGCCTGTCAGCCCCTGGCCAGCGGAGGCCCATGTCTGGCCAAGCATGTCTGTGATGGGCGGGGAGGGCCAGGACTAAGTGCTGGTCCTGGCATGCTTCACCTCGTAGAAGAACTATGACCACACTGGCTGGGCCTGGACACAAGGCTAAACCTATTAGACATCTCATCTAGAAAAATACCTGGTCCTCTGGGTGTGTTGCCTGTGGCAATCCCTCTTGGCAGATGAGGAAACTGAGTCACCTGCTGGAGAGTAGGATGCAGTCGTGTTCGGGTTGGGTCCGGCCTGCCTCGCTCCTGCACTTCGCTGTTGCTTGTATTGTTCAACATTGAGGTCTCATCATTGAACTCAAAAGACCCAAGGCTTCTCCACTTAGCTGAGCGGCCCACAGTTCATGAGACCCGTTGCCAGGGACTTCCGGTCCACAGGGGCTGGAAGCAAATGTTCACCAGCTCACGCAGCTCTCCTCCAAGCCAGGAAGACCAGAGTGAGAGGAGCGGAAGGCTGCAGGAGGCTGTGCTGGACGTGGGTAGAAGTGGGGCAGGAGCCCAAGAGACTCCAGTCCCCAAGGGCAAGCTCAGCACTGGGCTTGCAGTGGGGTAACAGGTGCCTACTACATGGCACCAGTACAGGTGGCGCCACTCGCCATGCTGCGGTGCACAGCACGGAGGTCGGCAGCAGCCGGGGATAGGAGCTATCAGCAGCATGTCCGGGGTGAGGCCAGCTCTCCCCTCCCCTCCCCACCCCCGGAAGTGACTGCAGGTCTCAGGTCATCCCAAAACCCCAAAAACAAATCCCTGCCAAATTGAGGGCCCCTTCGAGTTTTCCGTAATCTCAGTTGGAGAAAGGGCCAAGCTGTCTCCTCCTCTTTCTCCCCAGACCCTGTTCCAGGCCCCAGCTGGCTTCCTGGCTGGCTGCTGGCTCTGGCTTTCACCCCAAAGGGAGCCACTGGTAAACAGGAAATGCTTCCCCATGCAATGCCTGCTCTGGGCGCCATTGCCAGCCCACAGGCTGAGTAACCGCCAAGCTGCAGGCTGGTCTTTCCCACCAACTGCAGGAGAGTGGGTGCCCAGGGCTCCCCTCCCCCTCAGCCCCTGGGGGCTGGTCATTTGGCGGGTTATTGGGGAGGGGTGGCCAGACACTCCCAGCAGCGCCCGCGGCCCCCCACACTCACATCCTCCTCTGCCCTTCTTTCAGAGACAGTCTGAAGGCTGCCCCCAAGTCCCAGAAAGGTGACTCTGCCAGCATCGACTACGCAGAGCTGCTGCGGCACTTTGAGAAGGTCCAGAACCAGCACCTAGAAGTAAGGCACCAGCGCAGCGGGCGCGGGGACCACCTGGACCGCAAGGTGGTCCTCTGACACGCCTGGCGTGGAGAAAGGCCCCCAAGCACTCAGGGTCTTCAGGTCACCTCCCCGAGGATCTGCCTCTCAGGGGCAGTGCTGGTCTGACCACCAGAGCAGGGAGGGGGACGGAGGCCGCTCTGTCCACCCAGCACCTCTCAGCCCAGCCCTGGGCCCCCCCCAGCACGGTCCGCTGCGCCCTGGCTTCAGACAGCTGGCTCCCCACCAGGGAGGCACCACAGCCTCAGAAGCCGACCCTCTTCTGGAACCAGTCTCTTTCTAATTCTCCCCTGTGAGAAGAGCATCACCTCAGCCCCCAGAGCTCTGGCCTGGTGTATGTATACATGTGTGTATGTGTGTGTGTGCGCGCGTGTGCGCATGTGTGTGCATCTGCGTGTGTATATGCCCGTGTGCACACTGGGACCAGCACAAAGATCTCTACTGAATGACGTCCCCCTCAATAAAGAAATGACAAACCTTAACCCATCCGCCTGCTGCTTTCCTCCCTGGCGCTCGTGCGCTGCCCTAGGCCGCAGCCGCCCGGGCCTCACCTGTCCGGAAGACCTGAGCTTAGGAAGTGTGGCCTGCTGTAAGAGCCTCTCCACCCATAGGGTGGGCGCCTCCCCGGGCCTGCCCTCCTCGCCTGGAGCAGGGGACAAGTCCCCGTTAGCAGATGGCAGCGCGCCTCCTTTTCAGCACGGAAGGGGCTGGACCACTGCAGCCATGGCCAGGAAGGAGGGCCAGTCCGGTGGGGGGGGAGGTCCCCCAATCACTGGTTTGGCTGCACCTGTGTATGCCAGGGTCGCCTGTCCGTGCCTTGGCTGCCTGGTGAGTTCGCGAGCGGCCCGGCTGCCCGGGCGTGGGGAGGAGCCGTGCCACTGTGTCCCGGGCGGGAGCCCGCGCTGCCCCGGGAGAGTGCCCCCACCTGCGGGCTCCGGCCGCCGCCCGCGGGCGCAGGCATCAGGACGCCCGGCAAGGCCCGACCTGGACCCCCACTCGTGACTCCGGAGGTTGCCCCGGGCTCAGGAGACTGCCACTACCCACCCCAACCCCCAGGAAAGTCCGGCCTCGGGCACCTCACAGGGCGACTTGCAAAGGCAGCCAGAGATCTTAGGGAGGAGAGTCCGAACGTGTGGAGGGCCTGCGCCCCGGGTGAGCCGCCCCGGGGCGGGCACGCTCCCCACCGCAGCCCGCACCCGCTCCGGGCTGGCCCTCGGTCCGGCCGAGGCGCCGAAGGCCGCATCTTTGAAAGCTCGGACAGCTCCCCGCCCCAGACCAGGGCTAGGAGGAGTGAGGGGGGCTGGGCCCCCCCAATTCAGTCCCGCGGGGGGCTGGGTGGGCCCCGCCCCAGCGCCACCCCGACCCGCGGTGGCGCCCGCGCCCGCCGGCCCCGCTCGCCCGACCAGTCTGGCAGCGCCCGGGCTCGGATTTCAAAGCCCTGGTTCCTGGCCGTGAATGGGCCTGCGCCCGCCCGGTCGTTCCCACAGCCCCCTCCCGCGCCCTCCCCGCGGTCCTCCCTCCGCCGCGCCCACGTGACGCCCAGCTCCGCGGCTCGGATTACCGCCGCCGCTCCAGTCCCCGCGCCCAGGCTGCGCCGCCAGCCGCCCGCGCCGCGCCGCGCCCCCCGCGCCGCCGCCAGCCCCGCCGCGACATGGCCCGCGCCGCCCGCCGGCGGCCCGCGACCCCGGAGCACGGCGCGGCCGGCCGCTGAGCGCGGCCCGGAGGCGGGAGGCCCCGGCGCGGCCTCGGAGCAGCTCCCGCCGCGGCCCGGTCCCCTCCCCTGCGCCGCTGCCCGCGCCCCTGCGCGCCCCGCCGCCGCGGCCCGCCCGGCCCCAGCATGGAGACGGCGGAGAAGGAGTGCGGCGCCCTGGGCGGGCTCTTCCAGGCCATCGTCAACGACATGAAGGTAACCGGGGCGCCGGGGCGGGCGCGCGGCTGCGGGCGAGGGTCCCCTCGGGGGCCGCGGGGCGGCGGGCGGCCGCGCGCGGCCGGGGCTGGGCGCCGCGGCGTCGGTGTCCTTGTCCCAGCGCCTCCCGCCTGCCTCTGCCCTGCGCCCCGGAGTCCGGCTGCCAGCCTGAGGGGGTGTGGGTGCTCGCGTGTTGGGGTGTCCATGCCTTGCCCAGGTCGCCCTGACCCGAGCCTGAGTACGTGCGGGCCTTCTGCGCCCCTGACCCCCAAATCCTGAATGGGGTTTGGCTTCAGGCCGACTCTTAGGGCCCTTTGATGGGTCCGAGGTGTCTCCGGCCTCCGCCCCCTTCCACCACAGTCCCCCTCCCCGGTGTCCCCCCCCCCTCCCATGGGCCCCGGAGCCCAGACAATGCTGTCACCGCCGAAGATGGAAAAATAATAATCATAATAATAAAGCAGAGCCTTTAACTCCTTCCCCGCCGGCCTCGGCCTCTGGGCAGGACCCAGCCCCGCCCCCAACAACCCCAGGGCCCTAACGCCTCTTCCCCATCCCAAGGATAAGCCTGTATCATCACCTTGGGAGAAGAGGGGGGACGGTGGAGCAAACGAGGAGCCCCGTTCCTACTCCTGATCCTCAGCGCCAACCCTCCCCCCATCACCCAAGGTCAGGCTGGGTAAGTCCAGCCTCAGGCACCCCTTCAGAGTAGCATCCGTGCCTGAGACTGGGTCAGTCTCCCCACCACCACCACGTGGGGAAACTGAGGCCTACGAATGGCTCAAGGTCATTAAGGAGACGGTTGGACCCTGCCCCTGACCTCAGCCCCCATTGTTCATGGGAGGGGTGTGTATGTGTGTGTAGGGGGTTCTCTCTCCCAAGGAGACCAGGTTTTCAACAGGGCGTCCTGCCGTGACAGGGCCAGGGCCTGGGAACGAGCATTCCTACCCCTCTTCCCCGTCCCCCTTCTTTGGTCTTGGATGAAGGCGCAGGACTGCAGGCAGGGAAAAGGTCTACTCCCCACAGGAAGTCTCAAAGGTCTGCCTCACAGCCACACACACCCTTGCCAAAAACACATCACCAAATCAGACCAGGCCTTGGGGGCAGGGAGACACCACAGGGTTCTGGCGACCAGAGCCATGCCTTGTGGGTACTTGGAGGTGGAGGCTTGCACATAGACAAGAGGTTGGGGTTCCCTCCCAGGGAGCAGCCCTGGAAGCTGTTGCCAAGCCCCTGCTCCTCTAGGAAGAGTCTGGAAGCCACTTGCCTGACTGCAGTTATCAGCATGTGGGTACCCCCACCGCGGCGGGCTCCCCCTGGGACTCTTCTGCTGGCCCGCTGCTGGCTTGATTTGCCCTGTGGACATTACAGTGCCCTGCCTGGCACCACGATCAGTTTAGGGACCGGACAGGCCAGACCACCTACCCCGGCCATTCCTGAGCTGGCTGAGGGTGGGAGTCCGCGCACCTCCTCCCACCGGCAGTGGCACAGCAAACCCTGCAGGGAGCAGCAGCCACTTCTGCCCAGGGAAGAGCGGGGCTGTGTCCTCCCTCCACCTATTGCAAGGAATTTGGGATGAGACAGACAGAACCTGGGGCTTGGGTCACAGCAAGCGGAGCAGGCTAGGCTGCAGGCAGGACTTCCAGACATGTGGAGGCATGTGCGGTGACTCCACAAATAGATTTGTCCCCACAGATGACACATGCATGTGTTTAGGGACCCTGGCCGGGGGCCATCTGGAGGCTGGTCAGCAGCTTCTGGCCATCTCGCTCAGTGCTGGGTCAAGGAGAATGAGCTCACCTGGTCGGGCCGCTCCCAGCAGGACTCCTAGCCCCAGGGTGCTCTCCTAGTGGCCCCCACCCTAAGGGGCCAGAACAAGGGAGAGGGGATGGGCTCCCCACCTATGGCTGGATGGCTGGAGGAGGGCACCAGCCCGGGCCAGCATGCCCTTCTTCTCGGCCTAAGCCAAGCCATAGGCCCAGTGAACCCAGAGATGAGCCCAACACCTTCAGCAAAGCCAATGAAGCCTCAGAAAATGGGGTCCGAATCTGAGGCCTTGCCTCCACAATGTGGAGCTGGCCCAGACACAGGCTCTGCTTGGGTTGGGGGGAGATGACCTAGGAGAGGTTTAGAATGAACTCTGGCTACTGGCTGGCCACTCTGCCTGCAGTGAGTGCCCCCTGGAGGCCACACATTGATCTGATGCGCCAAGTACAGTCCTAATTTTACAGGTGAGGAAACCAAGGCTCGGAGGGGTGTACGCTTGCCCAGAGTTTTCTAGAGACCGCTTTCTGGAACTGAAGCCTGGGGTCCTTCCAGGTTGTGACCAGTCACAACCATGGTCTCCTCACTGGTTTCTTCTGTCCACTTGGACACCTCTCCTGCCCATCCCCCAGTGCCTGGGGCAGAGCTGAGTATCTTCCCCATCGCTGCAGTCCCTGCCACCTCCCGCCTGGGTGCACCCCACAAACGGGATCCCTCTACCCTGACAGAGAGTGACTTGTCAGGCACTGGGTCACACCCTGACCCTACCGTCCTGAGGCCTCAGACAGGTCACTTGACCGCAGCGAGCCTCCATTTCCCATCAGTAAAATGAAAGCGATGATAAGAGGCGTCTCCCAGCATGGCTGTGACACTCCAAGGTGAGCACACCATGCGTGGCGCAAGGCCAAGCCACCAGGGCACCTGGTCAGCAGGGACGGGAGTGATATACCAGGAGCTCAGCACTCAGGCCAGGTAAAGGCAGGGACATTCACCCTGGGGCCCCCCGGCACTCCGGCCTTTCCCTTCTCTTTGTTTCTGGGGTGCTTTGTGACCCAAAGGGGATGGGGAACAGAATCCCAAGTCCTTAAAGACCGAGCTACCAGGTTCATCTGCTGAGAGTGACCTGGGCCTGGCCTCACCATGCCCTGTGCTAGCCCCTGCCCCTGGGAAAGCACTCACTCTCCAGGACCACCTAGGGGCCGCTGGGAGAACTAGAAAATCTCATAGGGGCCAGGACAGCTGGCTTTGGACCCCCTGCATCCCAATATTTTCCCTGAACCAAGGAAGGTCTTAGGTTTCCCGGCAGCATGGAGTCTAGGTGATGGGAGTGTGGGCCAGGGCCGTGTTCAGCAATTCAGGGCTGCCAGGGGCCATCTCCCAGGCCCCTTTCCAACCTTGCTTCTTCCAACGTTGGTGCACTTTATAAATATTTGCTTTCTCTGGACACTGGCTGAGCTGGGAGGGAGGAATTTCTGAGGTTCTCTGACAGTGCCCTCTCCTTCCTGCTGTCCCTGTGACTCTCCTGGCCTGAAGAGACTGGCTAGATCCACCCTGAGCTTCCAGCCGAGCAGAGCTCCCCTGAGGCCTTAGGAGCTGGTGCTCTGACTTGCCCCTTCCCTAGGGAAAAGGCCAGCCCTCAGTGCCATCCTGCACATGGAGGGGAAGGGGCCCACTGGGGCCAAGGACGGGGGCTCTGCTGGGCCAGGGTAACCCTTCAAAGAACAAGCCCTCCCCCCCCCAGGCCCTTGGCCAAAGCTGAGATTTCATCAGGCCCTGCGGCCATGGGGAAAGTGCATTGGCCAGAAAAGCCCCTTAATCAGACTGGACAACTCGGTCGCCAGGAGCTGGACCTCCCTACTGGGAAACCCCCTCCCAATGTGGAGCCTTGGGCCAGGCTGGGATAAAGGCCACACTGTTTCCCTGGAGGGGAGGGGAGTGGGGGGTGGAGAAAGGTGGCTCTGTTGGCCACACAAGGCCCCATTCAGCCTGGGGCTGGTTGTCCTAGGCAGGCTAGCCAGGCCCTGCAGCAGCCACAGCCTCCCCGGGGCCTGGGAGCCACTGCCTCGGGCCTGAGAGATGGCTAGCCTGCCAGCAGCAGCTTCTAAGCCCACCTCAGACCTGAGCCCACAGTGGCCTCCACTGTGGCAGCAGGTCAGTGCCCACCTTCCTAGGTAGCATGCCTGAGAAACATGGTGCCCTTCGTTGATCTCAGCCAAGATCCCTGGCAGGAAGCCCAGAGGAGACAGGAACTGCTGTCCACTGAGGGAGCACAGGGGCCCCATGGCCACAGCTGCACACAGTTGGGTGGGCTTCCTGACATCAGGGGGCGAGAGGGATAGGCAGAGGCACCTGTTACCAGGGCCACCATCCGCCTGCCTGATGCTGCCATGGGTGTCCTCCTCCTCACCACGCAGGAGCCTCCTCTCTGGACACATGGCCATCTCAGAAAACTGCCCAGGATCTGGGCAGCAGGAAGGAGTGGGGAGGGGGCAGGCAGAGCCCTGGGCGGCCCCTCCACACAGTGTTTCCTTCCTCTCCTTCTCCCTGACAGAGCTCCTACCCTATCTGGGAGGACTTCAACTCGAAGGCCACGAAGCTGCACTCCCAGCTGAGGTGAGGCTGCCTGGGTCCCCCCCCCCCCTCGCACTGGGAAGCGGGAAGCAGAGGAGGACCCTGAACCTGTTGACCATCTGCCCACCCTGCTGTCCTTCTCCCCAGGACCACCGTGCTGGCTGCTGTGGCCTTCCTAGATGCCTTCCAGAAAGTGGCCGACATGGCCACCAACACCCGAGGTGGGGAGGGGTGTGGCTGGGCATGGAGGCCGCAAGGGCTGTGGGGGGGGGGGTAAGAACATCAGACCCCGGGTCCAGATCTCAGGATGGAATTGGATGGCTGTGGCAGGAGTGAGCCCTGCGGTGCCCAAGGCGCGCAGCATGTGGGGCAGGGGTGGGTGAGAGGTGACAGGGCTGTTACCCCGGATTCCCTTCTTACTGCCGGAAGCTCAGCTGACCCCGCAACCACACTGGCTCGAACCCTGGGGACTCAGCAGCTCCTCTGCCCTCTGGGCCCCCATTCCTTCCAGCAGCCATACCACAGCTGGGGGTGTGTGCACACACTCTCCAGCGCAGGGACCCCTGGAATGGGGGGCTGCCCCCACGGGAATAGAGGAGAATTTTGCTGGCCCCTTGGGCTGGCGGTGGGGCTCCCGGATCGCGGAAGGAAGGGGCGCCTCCTAGGCACCTGCAGCCGCAGGGTGGTGGGATGGCCGCGGAGGGCCGGTCCTGCGCAGCGCAGCGGAGGAGCTTGGGAAACACAGGGCCAGATCGAACCCCCGGGGGCCGCGGGACTGCGGGGAACGTGGGCGGGTCGCAGCGTCTGCGTGGCCAGCTCGCCCCCTGGTGGCCCGAGGCCGGAACTGCAGGGGCCCGCGCGGGGCTCCTTCCCACGCCGCGCGCTTCCTCGCCAGGGGCCACGCGGGACATCGGCTCTGCGCTCACCCGCATGTGCATGCGCCACCGCAGCATCGAGACAAAGCTGCGGCAGTTCACCAAGTGAGTGGGCAGGCAGGGGGGAGGGCACCCCATCCTCCCCGCCCGGGCTCTGACCCCCGGCCCCTGCCCGCAGCGCCCTGCTGGAGAGCCTCATCAACCCGCTGCAGGAGCGCATCGAGGACTGGAAGAAGTCGGCCAACCAACTGGACAAGGACCACGCAAAAGGTAGAGCAGGGGTCCTGCCGCGGCGGCCCACCCTTCTCCACAGGATTCTCCCATTACAGCCTCTTCCCTCACCCCTGCACAGAGTACAAACGGGCCCGGCACGAGATCAAGAAGAAGTCGTCAGACACTCTGAAACTGCAGAAGAAAGCGCGCAAAGGTAGAGCCCTGAGCTGCCCACCGCAGCCCAGGCCCACGGGCCCCCCTCCATAGCGCCCACACCGCCCTCTGGGGTGCCTCAGAGCCTCATTCCGTCCAGAGGAGTCCTGCCCCAGCACAGAACCAGCCGTCCAACCCCTCGGGTGGGACAGAGGGGGAGCTCCCTGCGCCCCAGGCTGCCCAGGCCCTCCCTCTTGGGAGACACAAGAGCCGCCTCCTCCACCCCTGGCAAGGTGCAGACCCCTCCCCGCCCCCAGGAGACACTGTCCATCCGGCTGTCTTTCACACATTCTTTCTTTCTCTGTCTCTCCTCCTCTCCTCCCACATCCTTCCTGTAGAGCTACTTGGTAAGTCAAATGTCCATCCCTCAGCGGCCCTGCCCATCCTCCTCGCATCTGTCTGTTTCCCCAGCCCAGGGACCCTGGAAGGAACCTCTCCCGGCCCAGGAGGAAGGAGCCACCAAGGGAGGGGCCTGGGGCACAGTCCCACCGAGGCCTCCAGAGCCCCCAGGCTGGGATGCCAGGGGCCTCTGCTCAGGCAGTCCGCCAGGCCCGGGGAGCTGGCTGCTGGGGTGGGGTGGGGAGCCCGGGTCCTGGCTGCTCCGCCGCTGTCCGTGCCGGCCACAGCCTTCCCTGTCGCATCCTCCTCTGTCATCCTCTCTCCTCTCTCTCTCTCTCTTGCTGCTTTTCCGTATTGCTGTTGCTGTCTCTGTGCATCGCTCCTCCCCCCCCCCCCCAGGCTGTGTGGGGCCCACGCTGAGACACCCCTCTCCCCTGCTCCCCAGCCCAGCCCTGGCTCTCCTCACCTCCCTCCACACCTGCCAGTGGTCTGGCCTACAGCCTGCCCCACTTTGGCCTGCTTCCAGCCCCCTCCCCGCGCCCCACGGGATGAAGGGCATTTCCAGAACAGTGAGGGAATCCTAGGAGGCCTGGGCCTGCAGCTGCCCACCCTAGATCCTGGCTGGCTTTGCAACTTGGTGTCTTACGCACACGCGTGCGTATGTGTGTGTGTGTCTGTGTCTGTCTGTCCTCTCTGCCTGCTCTGGTGGGACCCTCCCCTCCACAAGCCTTACAGTGTCCCCTCCCTCTCCCTGGCCCCCACACTAGTACCCAGACCCCCAGCCAGGGACGCCACCACAGGCGTTAGCCATGGATGCAGCAAACCAGGCCAGTGTCCCCAGCGCAGCCTCTCCTCCCAACCCTGCAGGGAAAGGAGACCTGCAGCCGCAGCTGGACAGCGCCCTGCAGGATGTCAATGACATGTACCTGCTGCTGGAGGAGACAGAGAAGCAGGCCGTGCGGCGGGCCCTGATCGAGGAGCGGGGCCGCTTCTGCACCTTCACCGCCTTCCTCCAGCCTGTGGTGGTGGGTTTCTTGGTGACTCGGGGGCCCAGGGCTGTGGGGCAGGTGCAGGGCATGGGCCAGGCGCAGGGTGGACCTCGTGGTTGCCAGGCTCGCTTCTCAGTGGGTGTATTCGGGGGGGGGCACACGCTCCTGGCATGAAAGCAGGTGTCCTAGTGCATGGTGTGCTCATCGGACCTGGGCAGTGGGTCGTGCCAGCTACCTGGGCAGTGCGGGCCCAGCCTCTGCCAGCCCCAGGCAGTGCTGGTAGTGGAGAAGGGTGAGAAAGGAGAGGTGCAATGTTCTCGGGGGGGGGGAGCAGGTGGGCGGCAGGGCCATCCGCTCTCCATTACTGCTTCCCCAGAACGGTGAGCTGACCATGCTGGGCGAGATCACCCACCTGCAGGGCATCATCGACGACCTGGTGGTGCTGACTGCAGAACCGCACAAGCTGCCTCCCGCCAGCGAGCAGGTGCGACCCGCCTGTGGCCACGGGCTAGGGGCAGCAGGGACACGGGGCCAGCCGCTTAGCTGGGGACTGTGGCAGAGGAAAGGGAACAGCACCTCGGGGAGGCAGCTAGGAGTAGAAAGCAGACACATTCCGACAGCCGCGGTGGGGTATCCAGAATCACCTGCCCAAGTGATTCTGGGAGGCCTGGGACCCGACAGGATCTCAAAGTAAGACAGGTGGGTGGAAGTCGCGGGCGCCTGGGGGCTTGGCCCTTCCGAAGCTGACAGTGCCTGCTGTCCAGCCATACCCAGGGTCCCATCCTCCAGACCCCAGCCCTCCTGCCCACCTCTCCTCTGCCTGCTCCCACAGCCCTCACCGCCAGCTCCCATGGCATTGCTCTCCTCAGGCACGTCCTGTATGCCCAGCATCTGCCAGGCACTCTCCCTAGGGTCTTCTCCCTGAGACCCCTGCAGGGGGCCAGTTCACGAAGTGAGACTCAGAGCGGTTCAGTAATGATTTGAACCCATGACGTCACCGGTACTTCAGCCTGGCACCTGGCTTCCCTGCCAGTGATCATACATCCTCAGCATCGGCTTCTCCCACGTTCCCCTGGCCCCTGCTCAGTGTCTTCTCCGCACGCCAGTGAGGAGGTTGCAGTAAAAGAAGAAGGCCAGAGGAGATGGGGGTTCATGGGGTCTCCTGGGCATCATTTACAGTTGGGAAGAGAATGGAGGATGTCTGACCCTACCGGCTCTGAGAAGCCCCAGAAAGCGACAAGGCTCCCAGGTTCAGGGGTGCCATCAGTGACCGCCTCTCCCCTCCCCCCATTCATGTCCCTATCCAGGTGATCAAAGACCTGAAGGGCTCAGACTACAGCTGGTCCTACCAGACCCCACCCTCGTCACCCAGCAGCTCCAGCTCCCGGAAGTCCAGCATGTGCAGGTCAGTGCAGGGGAGCACGGATGGAGGTCCTAGCAGGGACTAGAGAAGCACCCAGCAAAGCTGTACCAGGAACTACTTTGGAGAATTCGCATAACTCCTGTGGTGGTCAAGGATTTCTAAGTGTAGAGGAAAAGCATGTCTGTGGTCCCAAGACAGGGGTGTGGGCTGGCAGGAAGGAAGGGGCAGTAGCTTCATTTCTGAAATGAATGAATATATATGTATATATTCATATATAGCCAATGAATCCTTCAGGGAACGCAGCACTCAGAGCCTCGGGTGGTGTCCCCAGGGGGAGGGAGGGTCACCTCGGGAAGTGACCCCTGGGCGAAGGCATGGGACAAGGTTATGCCAGGAGCAGTACCTGGCATGTGAGCCGTGGAGAGCCAGGCACCCCGGAGGGGGGCACAATGGGGTGGAGGTCAGTTTAGGGGCCACCTGGAAGGCCGCCTCCCGCTCCACACAGGCCATGACCACAGCTTCGACATCCAAATGCCATGGGAGGGTGATGGCAAACCAGGAAGGCAGGTTAGACACAAGAACTGCGCCCAGACCTAACTTGATGACTCAGTTTCCCTGTCTACCCCAAGGACAACTATTCTACAGGCCAGGCTGAGGCACCGAGGGGGCGGGGCTCCGCGCACAAGGCCCTCCCGTGCAGGCTCACGGGCCACGCCACCCCAGGGCCCGGCTCCTCTCTCCTACCCGGTCTCAGGCCCTCCTCGTCTGACATGATCTTTTCCTTCCTCTGCCCCTCAACTCTCTCCCCTCCCTCGTCTGTCACCCCCCCCCCCCTCCACACACACCCCATGTCTCCCTGTCCGGCTGCTGTGTCCTCCTCCCTTCACTCCCTTAGTGCCCCCAGCAGCAGTAGCAGTGCCAAGGGTGGCGGAGCCCCATGGCCCGGGGGCGCCCAGTCATACTCACCCGGTTCCACCTGTCGCTACCGCAGCCTGGCACAGCCAGCCGCCACCGCCACTACCCGCCTCTCCAGCGTCTCCTCCCACGACTCCGGCTTCGTCTCCCAAGACGCCACCTACTCCAAGCCCCCCTCACCCATGCCTTCAGACATCACCAGCCAGGTGAGGGGGCGGCGGGGGCTCGGCAGGAGAAGGGGGGGCGGGGTGCAGCAGCCTCCCGCTGGCTTCAGGCTGCCCGCCTGCGGGGCCCTTCTAGCCATTGAGACCAACTGGTCTCACTCTGTTCTATATTTGTATTAGTGATTTCCATCTCTTTACTTGTAAATGCATCATATCATTATGTTTGAGATGAGTCTCTTATAAACAGCATATGCCAGGGTTTTCTTGTTTTATCCAATCTGGCATCTTTTTTCTTTCTTTTTTTCTTTGATGGTGCTAGGGATTGAACACGGGACCTTATGTGTATTAGGCGAGTGCCCTGCCACTGAGCTATACCCAGAGCCACAGCCTTTATCTCTTTATCTACTACCTACCTACTTCCGTTTTCTCTGTTCTCTCCTGCGGGGATTCTAATCAAATATACATCATCCCGTCCTATGCTTTCATTCCATCCTGTTTTCTCCATGTCTCATGTGTGCGTTCTTGTGCGCATGCACTCTGTCTCTGTCTGTCTGTCTGTCTGTCTGTCTGTCTCTGTCTCTCTCTTTCTCTCTTTTTCTCTCTGTCTCTCTGTCTCTGTCTTTTTTTTTTTTTTTCTTTTGTCGGTCGTGGGGCCTGAACTCTGGGCCTGGGCGCTGTCCCTCAGCTCTTCAGCTGTAGACTAGTGCTCTACCACTTGAGCCTCAGCCCCACTTCCAGCTTTTTCTGCTTATGTGGTGCTGAGGAATCGAACCGAGGGTCTCTCTCATGCATGCGAAGCAAGCACTCTACCACTGAGCCACCTTTCCAGCTCCCCTCCCCCCTCCCCTCTCTCTCTCTCTCTCTCTCTCTCTCTCTCTCTCTCTCTCTCTCTCTCTCTCTCTCTCTCTCTCGTGTGCGTGCGCATGCGCCTGCTTGCTGCACTTGCTAGGCAAGAACATTACCATTTGAGCTACTCCACCAGCCTTTTTCTTTTTGATGTCGATCCTGGGGCTTTGAACTCAGGGCCTGGGCTCTGTCCCTTGTCCCTGAGTTTTTATGCTCAAGTCTAGGGCTCTGATGATTGAGCTGCAGCTCTAGTTCCAGCTTTTTTTTTTTTTAGGTAGTTAATTGGAGATAACAGTCTCATGGGCATTCTTGCCTAGGCTGGCTTGGAACCACGCTCTGAGTAGCTAGGATTACAGGCATGAGCCACCAGTGCAGAGCAACCGGCCCTCTTATGTTATTTTCATGATATGTCCCACTTTATGCCTGTGCTGGCCTGCTCCATGATCCTCCTAATTTTGCATCCCACATCGTAGGGATAGCCTGTGCCACTGGGCCCAGACACAAGTTGAAATGGAGTCTTGTGAACTTTTTGCCTGGACCTGGCCTTGAACTGCTGTCCTCTTAAGTCTCTGCCTCCTAGGTAGCTAGGATTATAGCCACTATACCCTGTGTCTCTTATTTTCTGTTGTTCATTTCCTTTTCCCCTCCATTGTCCATTCTGGATCTTCTGATCTGAACTTGAGATCCTCCTGCCCCAGCCTCCTGAATGCCGAGGTTTCAGATGCGCATCACCAAGGCTAGCTTGTTTTAAATTTTTATTCTTGAGTCATTTTAAACTTACAGAAATGTTCAAAAAAAAAAAAAAAGCAAACTGAAGTCCCCAATTACCTTCCCCACAGTCTCCCCCATTGTCTGAGTTTCATACTCTGTCATCCAGCTAATTTAACTATTCTTATACCCGGACCACACCATCATAATTATTGTAACTGTGAAAATTCACAGCGTGTGATAAGGAAAGTTCTCCTGCATTGTTAGACTTCAGAATCACCTGTTTTTACTCCCATGCATTTCCTTATAAATTTTAAGATCAAGTTGTCAGATTTTACACACACACAAAAAAAAAAATTACTGGGGATTTTAAGTGAGATTGCATGTCTGTCTATTTAGGCTTCAGTTCTTGTAATAATTTTTTTTGTAGTTTTTCTGTAAATATCTTGCCTCTATTCATTGATCTGTTTCCTAGTTATTTGGGTATTTGTTGGTGCTATTATAAATTACATCCCTATTTGTTAGTACTGGTATTAAAATACAGTTTTTTTTTCTGACCTTGTATATATAATCTTCTTAAAATGATGTATTAATTCTGGTAACTTACAGATTTTTTTTTTGAGACATGGTGTACATTAGTATATTATCTAGCCTAATTTCAAACTCCTGATCTCAAGTGAGCCTTCTAAGCGTGGGACTCCAGGCTCTGGACCTAGCTTACTGACTGTGTCATCATTGCCTCCTTTCCAATCTTTTTCTGTTGTTGGATTTGGTTTTTTGTTGTTATTGTTGTTGTTGTTGTTGTTTTTGGTGTGTGTGTATGTGTGTGTTTGTGTGTGCACGCACACGCATGCACCATTTCTAGGCTTGAACTCAAGACCTGCGTGCTGTCCTTGAGCATTTTTTTGCCCAAGGCTGGTGCTCTACTACTTGAGCCATCTCTGGCTTTTTGATGGTTAATTGGAATTAAGAGCCTCACAGACTCTCTTGTTGGGGTGACTTACAACCATGATCCTCGAGTCTCAGCTTCCTAAGGTATCTCCCCTCATGCTGAGTGGAGTGCTCAGCTTGGCGTGCATAGGATTACACGTTCCCTCCCCCACCCCACTTCCGGGCATTCCCTTCCTGAGAAGATAGTGCCACTCAGCTGTGTCTCTCTGTCCCTGGTTGGCCACGGGCAGGTCATTGGTGGCAAGGCCTGTGGTGAACCGTCAGACTGTGCGGCTGCGGGCCGAGGTGGGGGGGGGGCTGTAGGCTCAGGCTGCCACCTGCTGACGGCAGCACTGGGCGCTGTGACCCTAGGAGGAGACACAGGGTGGTGTGACTTAACACAGCACCCACTCAACGCTGGCACTAGGACCACAGCTTTTCTCTCCTCTCCTCCCCTCCTGCACTCCTTCCCTCCCCCCCCCCCACTGCCCTGCCCGCCTACTTGCCTCTGCACGGCAGAAGTCCTCCAGCTCCGCGTCCTCTGAAGCCTCGGAAACGTGCCAGTCTGTGAGCGAGTGCAGCTCCCCGACCTCGGTCAGTGCTCCTGCCCCAGCCCGCGACTCTCACCTGATGTCCATCCCAAGCCCACCCAGCTGGTGCCTGGCCAGAGAGCTGCATGCGCACAGCATCTGCCACTATGAGACAGACACCCAGACCCCATGACATGGGACATCCTGTCCCGCCCCTGGGGCCTGGCGGGACAGAGGGGTCACCACTTCCATAACCCCACGCCACTGGCCTTGGCCTGTGAGCCAGAAGCCCCTCACAGACCTGGATAGCCTGTGCCTTGGGCACATTGACCCCCCCCCCCCCCCACACACACACGCACGCACGCACGCACGCACGGCCATGACGGCAAGGCCAAGGGTCCCTGACTTGCCTGGCACGCCCTGCAGGACTGGACCAAGGCCGGCCCCCATGAGCAGCCCTTGGGCGCCACCCTACAGCGGAGGAAGGACCGAGTGGAGCTCCTCCGGGACACAGAGCCGGGCTCCGCGAGTGGAGGCCCGCTGGGCCCCAGTGGGGAGGAGGCCCCGCGGCCCCGCATGTCCCCTGCCACCATCGCAGCCAAGGTAAGTGGGTGGCGGGTGGCGGGTAGCGCCCTGGGCCGCCCCACCAGGCCTGGCCTTCGCGCCCATCTCAGTTGTCAGTGGTCTCCAGCACCAGCTCCAACCACCACAACTGCCTGGAGTCTAGGCAGAGGGCGCAGGCCTGGAGTGAGGCTTTATTTCACCTGCGATGTGACCCCCCCGCAGCATGGTGAAGAGGTGTCCCCTGCGGCCAGCGACCTGGCCATGGTGCTGACCCGCGGCCTGAGCCTGGAGCACCAGAAGAGCAGCCGGGACTCCCTGCAGTACTCGAGCGGGTACAGCACGCAGACCACCACGCCCTCGTGCTCCGAGGACACCATCCCCTCCCAAGGTGGGCCTTCGGGCTGCCCTCCCAGGACTGGGGGTGCTCACCCATCCTTCCGAGAGCCCCAGCGCCCTACCATGGACAGCGGGCCCTCACAAGTTGGGTGCTTCCTCTCCAGGTCCACTCTGGGCAGATGGGGCTCAAGCTGGGGGTGGGGGGGGGGGGGTCTCTGGGCCCTGGACTCACTGCGCTCTGTGTCCCCAGGCTCAGACTACGATTGCTACTCCGTGAACGGGGATGCGGACAGCGAGGGCCCCCCCGAGTTCGACAAGTCATCCACCATCCCTCGCAACAGCAACATCGCCCAGAACTACCGGCGCCTCATCCAGACCAAGCGCCCAGCCTCCACCGCCGGGCTGCCCACCGCCGGGCTGCCCACCGCCTCCGGGCTGCCCTCGGGCGCGCCCCCTGGCGTAGCCACCATCCGCCGCACGCCCTCCACCAAGCCCACCGTGCGCCGCGCCCTGTCCAGCGCTGGCCCCATCCCCATCCGGCCGCCGATCGTCCCCGTGAAGACCCCCACGGTCCCCGACTCCCCTGGCTATGCAGGGCCCACGCGGGCAGGCAGTGAGGAGTGTGTCTTTTACACAGATGAGGCGGCCTCACCCCTGGCGCCAGACCTCGCCAAGGCCTCCCCCAAGCGCCTCAGCCTGCCCACGGCCTGGGGCAGCCCGTCCCCGGACGCCGCCAGCTACCCAGGGATGGGATCTGGGCTGGCCACCGAGGACGACGAGCAGCAGCTGGCCGCCAACCGGCACAGCCTGGTGGAAAAGCTCGGGGAGCTGGTGGCAGGTGCCCACGCCCTGGGCGAAGGCCAGTTCCCCTTCCCCACAGCCCTGTCAGCCACCCCGGCCGAGGAGACGCCCACCCCGCCCCCTGCTGCCACCAGCGACCCCCCGGCTGAAGACATGCTGGTGGCCATCCGCCGAGGGGTCCGGCTGCGCAGGACCGTCACCAACGACAGGTCGGCACCCCGCATCTTATGATGGCGCCACCCTCCCCCCACCCTGTGTGGCCCTGATGTGAGCAGGTGGCCTGGTCTGTGACAGCGGCCACTCGGAGCCATAGCACAGCCAGGAGTGGAATCCACGCCAGGGACAAGGCAAAGCCACTCTCCAACCCAGGCTGGACGCAACGTCCTTCACACACCTCGCCAGGGTGGAGCCTGCAGGCCTTTCACTGGTTTTAGAGCCTGTTTTATACTTTCCCTGCCTAGTCTGTTCCTCCTCTTCCTCCCTGCAGACCCTGCCCCATGGAAACCCTGAGCCCGTGAGCAAGGGCTAAGCCAGCCTTCCTCAGCCTCCCCAGTCCCACCTGGCCTGGGGTCTCCAGAGTCACGGAGCCCCAGATCCTTGAATGCTGGCTCCCCACCCCTTCCCTGCCTGAGCCCCCGGCCTCCATTTCCCTTCTCCCTCATCCCTGCCTCTCCAAGCTCCTCATCACGTGGGGGACAGGGTGGCTGGGGAGCGGCTGGTTCCCCCCCCCCAAGAGTCTAATTGGTGACTAGGGTTAGGGGAACAGGTTGATTTTAGGACAGGCTCCCCTGTGGGGAAGGGAGCTGAGAGGCCCAAAAGAGGGATCTTGGAGGAAATGTAGGGGCGCATCAGGAAGGTTTGAGGGACCCTCCAGCTTTCCTGCCCTGTAAAGTGCCAGGCAGAGCACAAAGAAGAACCTAGAAGGGCATGGGGCCGCGGGGCCAGCCGCCATGCCGAGGGGCTGTTCCGGAGGTCCCATCGTCTGGGTACACTGAGACCTTCACTGGTGGCATTTGGAGGCTGGAGCAGGAAAGGATGTGGGGGGGGGGGGCGGAGGGGGGAGTATTTTATGACCATAATAAAATGGAACTGACCCCAGACAAGGACTGGGGGTGGGGGGCGGGTAAGCCGGTGGAACAGGGTGTGTGTCTTTGAGTGTCTGAGAGATGGAGGCCTTCTGGGCCTGTGGCAGGAGGGGAAGGATGGGACTGGGTCCCCCAAAGCCGGGGGACCCACCCTTGTTCCCTCCAATGTCTCGAGTGTAGTCAGGAGGCTGGGCAGGGCGGGACCGGAGCTGCCCGCCCGTGTCTCGCGCTGAGTCCGGGGAGATTGGCTTGGACTCTCTGTTGCCAGAGGAGATGCCACTCTGCAGTGGGTCTCACTGCGGGCCTGGCACTGGCTGGCAGCGGGGGGGGCATAGAGAGGAGTGGGGCTGCCTCCCACTCCTCACCCCCCAGTCAGGCCAAACCTGAGCAGGTCAAAGCATGTGAGCCTAGGGCAAGAGGAGGGAGTGTGCGGTGGCCACAGGGTAGTGAGGAGGCGGCGGGACTCCGGGGGCTGTGACCCTGGGGTCTGGGAGGACTCCGGGGGCTGTGACCCTGGGGTCTGGGAGGACTCCGGGGGCTGTGACCCTGGGGTCTGGGAGGACTCCGGGGGCTGTGACCCTGGGGTCTGGAGAGCGGCTTGCCTTGGTCTGGATGGAGTGCGTCCGGGCTGGTCCAGGCTTGAGCTCCTGGGCGCTCATGTGCCATAAACTGGGACGTTGGCAGGCCAGCCAGGCGCATGCGACGTCCCAGAGATTCCTTTGCGGAAGGCGTTCCCCCCACCACCACCCAGGGCTCCCCAGGGCTGCTAGAGAGCGGGGCCCAGCACATCTGTAGGTCTGAGAACCGCTCAGCTGAGGGCCTGGCCCACCAGACTCAGAAGGTACCAGAACCCCCAGATGTGGGGGCCAGAGGAGCAGGTGGTTAGTTTGGGGGTCCCGGGGGTGGATTTTCAGCTGCACTTTGCCTACCCCAGGGCCATGTTGGGGGGTTCCCAGGAAGGCTGATGGAGAACTGAGACACGGGATGCGTGGGGGGGGTGGCAGGGGTGTGGCTGGGCCTGGTGGGGGGGGTCCCCCACGGGAGAGAACTCACTGCTTTTGGCTCCTGCTGGGAAGGGAGGCTGGGCTGGGAGCCCCCCGCCCCCCCAAGTCTGTACATACTCCACCCACCCCCTGCTCCCGTGTCGTGACCACCTCGTCCCCCACCCCCTCGGGATCCGAGCCGCCATCCCACATCTCACAGACTTTGGTTTGGGGGAACTTATTTACATTCATTTTATTTTTCGTTTTGTACAGAGAAATATTCTTTTCAGAAGCGTCTTTTGACTGAAGTAACTTTTCTGGTGCTGTTGTTAACTTGTTCCTTTTTTTTTTTTTTTTTTTTAATTTATTTTCCCACCCCAAAGCCTCTCTCCTTGGTTCCTACTTACCCTTTCTCCCTCACCCCTACCCCAGTCCTCCCTCCCCCTCCCCCCTTCTCCCTGCATCCCATCTGGACCATTTTGTTTCTTTTCTTTCTGTCAGTTTTTGGACAAAATCTCCTCTTTCCCCCACCCCCACCCCACCCCTCACGTCATCCTTCCCTCAATTTAAATAGTCACTGCTACAAGTAACAAATGCACTGTGAAGATTCCAGTATTAATAAAGTGGTACTGTAGTTAACACCGCCTCCGCCTGACTTCCCTGGGCCGCGGCTCCAGCCCCGTCCTGCCCCTGCACCCTGGCCTTTGTCACCCCACACCCGGGCAGGCCTCAGAGGCACTGGACCTGAGTTTCTTGAAGTGCCCTCCCCCTTGTTTTTTCTGGGGACAGCTAGAAGGAAAGAGGATCCCAGACACCCCTCCGGCCTGCTGGGGTCCGCAGGAGGGCAGGCCTAGAAGGAACTCCCTTCTCGATGCCCCTGGGTGAGGCTCCAGACCCAGCCCTGGGCTGGGTCAACCTTTCTACCTGTCTTCCCGTGGCCTGGGCCGGCTGTCCACCTCTCCCAAGCTCACCTTTGCAAAGGCAAACCAAACCAAACCAAACCAAACAAGTGGGCATTTAATAGAAAAATAAAAAGAAGTGGAAACGCATTAGTGTGGCAAGATGTGGCATTTGGCTCTGCCCGCAGCCCAGCACCCCATACTCAGCCCAGCTGGAACGCCTCAGTGGTCCCCATCCCTGTCCGCCCACCTGAGGAATGAAACAGCCTCAAGGGAGGTGGGGAGCTGGGCTCAGAGGCACCCCCTTTCCTAGGGGGTCTCCCCACCGCCGCCTCACGACGGCTCAGGCAGCCCAGCTCCTGGGACTCATCCATTGGCCCTTCCAGAGCCAACCTCCAGACTGCTCAGGGCAAGAAGCTCAGCCCTGTGCCCTGAATCTAGGGCCTAGCACTCAAGCCTGGGGACAGGGGCAGGGAGGTGAGGGGTGGCCGGGGCGGAGGGTACACCTGGGTGGCTGCACACTGCGGGGAGGGCTCTGGCCCATGGCGCTGAGGACTCTGCACCTCACAGTCCTGCCATCTTAGGATGGAGCTTTGTTTGCCTGCAAGAACCGGAGAGACACACGAGACTGCAGGAGAAGTCAGGCCTGCCCACCTCCATCCCACCCAACCCCAGCAGCATTTCTTAACGCCCTCCCACCACCACCATGCTCAGGGTCCACCGCAGCTTCCAGAAGGGCCTGGCACTGTGGGCAGGGGCAGAGGACATGCTAACACAGGCCCAGAAGCCCCGGCACGCCTTACAGCAAGAGCAGTACAGAAGCTCCATGACCCGGAAGCAGTTGTCCAGCAAGGCTTTGGGCCGCACCAGTTTCAGACTCAGACCTGGGGTACTCAAAAGGGATAACACTGCTTCCACCTGCGGACTGATCTCCACATCCTGTGAGGGAAGAAAGGTCAGGACCCGTAAAAACAAAAAAGATAGAGGCCTCCCCGCGTAGAGCTGCCCCAGATCACTGAATGACAAGATTTCCTGTGACCCAGTCATTGCCCTGAACCCAAGTACAACACAGGGACGTCTGTTTCTCCATCGCTGGAAAAACCACCACAGGGCACAGGCCTTGGGGCCTCCTTACTATTCTAGCATGTGCATGGCTGCCCACTGCAGGCAGGAGCCAACCCCTGATCAGAGAAAACGCCATCAACTGCAAGGGACAAGAGAAGAGCCTCGCGAGAGACACTGAGCGGCAAATCACGTAGGCAGGGCCTGGTGTTTGGCCCCAAGCTCTAATGGCTTCTCAATGCCTAGCAAAAGGGAGCACATGGAAGCGAGTTGGGCACCAGAAGCCTATATATAGGGGAAAGCAGAGGCATCATGAGAAACACGGGGCCTTGCTAGGGGACAACCTTCCTGAAGGCTGTAGCAGCCTAGGAAACACATCTGTGCTGAATCGTGACCCCCATAACCCCTGAACGCCACAGCTCAACAGTACTCTGCAGTACCAGTGCACAGCTCTATTTGGATGTAGGGCAGACGTAATGAAGAATTACAGAGTGACCTCTTTCTGGATTTAAGGCAGATCCTGTAGTGTGTGTGTGTGTGTGTGTGTGTGTGTGTGTGTGTGTGTGTGTGTGTGTGTGTGTGTGTGTGTGTGTGTGTGTGTGTGTGTGTGTGTGCGCTGAGGCTTTAACTTAGAACCTGGACTCTATCCCTGAGCTTTTTTGGCTGAAGGCTAATGCTCTACCACTTGGGCCACAGCTCAACTTCCGGCTGTTTGGTGGTAAATGAAAAGTCTCCTGGACTTTGCTGCACAGGCTGGCTTTGAACCAGGCTGGTGACCCTCAGAGCTCAGCCTCTTCAGTAGCTAGGATTACAGGTACAAGCCTTCTCCTTCCTTAGGCTCCTCTTCCCACACTCTCTCCCCACCTTGGACATGCCAGAACTTTCCATGCACTCCCTCTTCCCTCCGCAGCCACACCCTGGCCACCCCTGTGGGACCCACACACTCACTCGGCCGCGCAGCTCACCGTGAGGCCCTCCTGGACGTTCACCAGCAGCGTCTGCACCTCCTGCAGGTACTTCCAGGATGGGTGGCCCTCCAGCAGCACGCTCTGCACTGACTCCGTGGCGTTGAGACTCACCAAGACCCACAGATAGCGCAGCTCACGCGCACTCACCCGGGCCCTCTGCTGCAGGGACAGGAGAAGTCAATGGAACCCCCAACTGCAGGCCTCTGGGCTGTGATCGCCTCCCCCCTGGGATCTGCCCCTCCAAAGGAACAACCTGGAGTCTGATTGGGGGGCCAGGCTTGATTGAGGGGTTGACGAAAGATGCGTGCATGGCATCACCACCTGCCAAGACCCACATGGCCTCTTAGGGGGTTCACGGGCCCAGTCCCAGGGGATCCTCACCAGCCTGGTGATGTTGGCAACTCTGAGCACCCCCTCATAAGGCACACTGATCCTGTAGTTGATGGGGAAGTAGTGTTTCTAGAAAGATACAGGAACAAACCAGGAAATAATAAGCAGAAATGTCTTAGATAGAAGCTGACACAGGGAGAGGCAAGCGAGGCCCAGCCCCACAAGGGCGAGAGGCTTCTCTAGCCAGACGTAACCCAGGTTTCCCATGAGACTAACGACACCTCGCTTTGCTCTGAGAGGCAGGGCAGGACGAAGCAAACACACCGTTCCTATGAATACAGAGCTTTTGGGAGGAAAGACCTATGGCATTTAGGAAGGCATTATTTGAGGAATGAGGGAGATGTTCTAGAAATATCTACAAGTGATGATTGCACAGTTCTATGAACACACCAAACACCAGTGAGTGTAACAATTTAAATGGGTTGAATAGTAGGAGAACTGTATGTCAGTAAGGCTGTTGTTAAAAAACACGTATAGAGCCAGGCATGGTGGTGCACACCTATAATCCCAGCACTTGGAAGGTGGAAGCAGGAAGATTGTGAGTCCAGGGCCAACTCGGGCAACACAAAAAAAAATTGTGTCTCAAAAATCAAATAAGTGGGGCTGGGAAGGTGGCTCAGTGGTAGAGTGCTTGCCTTGCATGCAGGAGGCCCTGGATTCAATTCTGCAGCACCACATAAGCAGAAAAAGCCAGAAGTGGCGCTGTGGCTCAGTGGTAGAGCGCTTGCCTTGGCTGAAGAGCTGAAGGACAGTACCCAGGCCTAGAGTTCAGGCCCTACAACCAAAAGAAAATAAAATAAGGGGGCTGGGAAGGTGGTTCAGTGGTAGAGTGTTTGCTTTACATGCATGAGGCCCTGGGTTCCATTCTTCAGCACCACATAAGCAGAAAAAGCCAGAAGTGGTGCTGTGGCTCAAGCGCTAGAGTGCTAGCCTTAAGCTGAAGAACTGAGGGACATCACCCAGGCCCAGAGTTCAAACCCCACGACTGACCAAAATATGGAAATAAAATAAAACAAAAAGACATGTAGAGTCATGTGGATATCTCCACTCTTCAAAAAGAACTAACAGCCAGGTATCATTGGCTCATGCCTATAATTCTAGCTATTCAGGAAGCTGAGATCTAAGGACTGTAGTTCAAAGCCAGCCTGAACAGGTAAGGCTGTGAGATACCTCCAATAAACAACAACAACAACAACAACAAAAGCCAGAAGTGGAGCTGTGGCTCAAGTGATAAAATGCCAGCTTTCAGCAAAAGCAGCTGAGGGACAATACCCAGGCCCTGAGTTCAAGCCCCAAGACCAGCAAGAATAAAGAAAGAAAAGAAACCAAAACATTTCAATTTGTAGGTCTTTTTCTCCCCTGCCTAGGGGTCCCCGAAGGACTTCCTGCAGTCCCTTCCTGGGCCATAGGGTGAGTACCAGGTTGGGGTGGGCTCAAATGTCAGGCTGAGGAGAGGTGAGGCTCTGGGAGATGATGGGAGGGGGAGGGGAAGCCAAGTACGTCAATCACGTGACAGAGAAAGATGCAGAAGGAAGCTATGGTAACCTTGGGGCTAACCCAGGTCCAAGGAGGGGCCATGACTGTCCAGAACCCTGTACGGGGTGAGCCACGGCAGGTACCCGTGAGCTTACCATGTACTGAAGTCGGTTCTTGTACTGAAGCTTGACCCGCAGGTAGCCGGTAATATCACACTCCTTGTTCTGAGCCAAGGGCCACACCTCCAAACTCTCGTTCCCCAAGGCCATGCCAAAGAGGATCCCAAGATCTGTGGACCACACCCAAAGAGGCCCCATGAGCACCAGGAACGGCACCCACATCTCCCTACATTCTGCATACAGAATGTCATCCAAGCGGGGCGCCAGTGGCTCACGTCTGTAATCCTAGCTACTCAGGAGGCTGAGATCTGAGGATCACAATTCAAAGCCAGCCTGGGCAAGAATGTCCTTAAGACTCTGATCTCCAAATAACCACCAAAATGCCAGAAGTGGAACTGTGGCTCAGGTGGTAGAGCGCTAGCCTTGAGCACAAAAGTTCAGAGACCGCGCCTAGGTCCTGAGTTTGAGCCCCAGGAGGGCACAGATTAAAACATAATTTAAAAATGACCAGGGTGACCCAAGAGACTTTCCTTCCTGCTCTAGTGAAATGTGCCATTCCTCTCTATTAAATGTACCCGTGAGTCTGAGGCGCTTCACAGTTTAGCAGCTGTCTCAACAAATGCTGTTATCTTTTAAAACAGTACCAGTCTTTGCCACTAGAGGTCACTATGGTCTGAAAACAACCTTTGTTCCACATACTTGAACAGGAAAAACTAGAGGAAAATGTGGAACCGGGCACTGGTAGTTCTCACCTGTAATCCTAGATACTCAGGAGGCTGCTGAGGATAGTGGTTCAAAGACAGCCAGGGCAGGAAAGTCCATAAGACTCCTATCTCAAATTAAGCACCAAAAACATTCAGACATGGAGTGTGGCTCCAGAGGTAGAGCCCTGAGCCCAAAAGATCAGGGACAGCACTCAGGCCCTAAGTTCAAGCCCCAGGACTACCAAAAAAAAATGTTAAGAGTGTAGGGGGACTGGGAGTGTGGCTTAGTGGTAGAGTGCTTGCCTAGCATGCACGAAGCCCTGGGTTCAATTCCTCAGTACCACATAAACAGAAAAGCTGGAAGTAGCTCTTTTGCTCATGTGGAAGAGTACTAGCCATGAGCAAAAAGCTTAGGGACAGTGCCTAGGCCCAGAGTTCAAGCCCTACACTGGAAAAAAAAAAAAAAGATGAATAGGGGTTTAGCGGGTCAGAGAAGAAATGAAACAGAAAGTGTGTATCCAAAACACCAACCTCATGAAAACATTTCCATCTAGTAAAAGGGAAATGCAAAGGTTAGTGTGCATGTGTTCTCTTTTAATGATCTGCTAAAATAATTAGACAGAGGTGCTCTCATTCTGTTAAGAACAGATTTAGGGCTGAGAAGGTGGCTCAGTGGTAGAGTGCTTGCCTTGCACGCATGAGGCCCTGGGTTCGATTCCTCAGCACCACATAAGCAGAAAAAGCCAGAAGTGGCACATCGGCTCAAATGATAGAGCACTAGCCTTAAACTGAAGAGCTGAGGGACAGTGCCCAGGCCCAGAATTCAGGCCCAACAACCAAAAGAAAAAGAAAAAAAAGAAAGAACAGATTTAATCAAGTCCACACCCTCTGACCCACTAAATTCAAAAAGTTGGAAAAACAAGACAGACATAAACCAAAAGATTTATGAACACATATTGCAACATTATTTTATAACAGTGACAATTTGTAAAAGGCCAAGACATTCCACAATAATAAATGTAGCCGCTGGGCACTGGTAGCTCATCCCTATAATCCTAGCTACTTGGGAGGCTGCAATCAAAAAGATTGCTATTTGAGGCCATCCTGGTACTGCGGGTGAGACTCCTTCTTAGCCAATAGTTGGGCCTGTGCCTGTCATCCTATCTGCATAGGAAGCTGAGATCAAGAGATTGGGGTCCCAGACCAGCCCAGGTAGAAAAGACTATGACATTTCCATCTCAGTGGAAAGAAACTGGGCATGGTAATACATGCCTGTCATCCCAGCTACAAGATGAAGTCTAAATTAGGCAGATGGAGAGATCCAGACATGCACCTGAGCAGGAAGCAAGACCCTATTACAGGCTCACACCTGCAATCTTAGCTTCTTAGCAGGCTGTGATCTGAGGATATGGTTCAAAGCCAGCCCAGGCAGGAAACTCTGTGAGACTTTTATCTCCAATTAACCACCAGAAGTGGCTCTGTGGCTCAAGTGGTAGAGTGCTAGCCTTGAGCTGAGAGACAGCACCCAGGCCCAGAGCTCAAGCCCCACCACTGACAAAAAATAATAATAATTAGCACTTAGGTGGAATAACGTACATATGTCATTCCATGCACAAATAGGAGGATCAAAGCCCAGGCCAGCTCTTGCATAAAACAAGACCCCGTCTTGAAAATAACCTACCAAAAGCAAAGTGACCCAAGGGGTAGAGTGCCTGCTTAGCAAACGCAAGAAAAGTCCATGAGATTCTTATCTCCAAGTAGTCACAGAAAAAGCCAGAAGTGGGGCTGTGGCTCAGGTGGTAGAGCATTTGCCTTGAGCACAAAGAGGCTCAGGGACAGAGCCCAGGCCCTAAGTTCAAGCCCAGGACCATAAATAAATACATACATACATACATACATAGTCACTAAGCTTATCTTATATCAGCACATAAGCTATCATGAACATTCTCTGACAGTGTGATTTTTGTTTTTTGTTCTTGGGGTTTGAACTCAGGATTACAGGTGTGAGCCACCAAAACCCAGCTAGTGGACAGAAAGAAAGAGAGAAAGAAAGAAAGAGAGAGAGAAAAAGAGAAAGAAAGAAAGAGAGAGAGAAAGAAAGAAAGAAAGAGTGAGAGAGAAAAAGAAAGAAAGATAAAGAAAGAAAAGGAGCCAGGTGCTGCTAGCTCACTCCTATAACCCTAGCTACTCAGGAGGCTGAGTTCTAAGGATCTCTGTTTGAAGCCAGCCCAGGCAGGAAACTCTAAGATTATCTCCAACAAACTAGTCAAAAAAGCCAGAAGTAGCCGGGTGCTGGTGGCTCACGCCTGTAATCCTAGCTACTCAGGAGGCTGAGATCTGAGGATCACGGTTCAAAGCCAGCCTGGGCAGGAGAGACCATGAGACTCCTATCTCCAATAAACCACCAGAAAACCGGAAGTGGCACTGTGGCTCAAGTGGTAGAGCGCTCGCCTTGAGCTGAAGAGCTGAGGGACAGCGCCCAGGCTGAGTCACTGTCCTGGTCCACCTGTTAGGAGTAGGATCGCTGGGAGGACTTCCCCCATTCACTTCCTGGCACCTTCAAGATTTTGTCTGTACACTGCCATGGGCCTGGCCACTCCCCTTGTTCAGTCCTCCAGCCCCACCCTGACCGTTGTGTTGGACCCTCCCAGCGGGGTGGTCTTCCCTTACCGCTAGTCCCCAAGTCTACTAGCCCTGTGGCTGCCTTGTGTGGGCTGCAGCTACCCATTCTTCACTTCAACAGAACTCTGACAGCCATATTTTTGCAAGGAGTCCAGGTTTCTGACTTAGTATTGGGTCAGAGGAATGGAGAAGCACAAAGCTAACCATTGTTTAGCCCTTTGACATTGACTTGCTGTCTGCCTGGTGCCACACACTTATACCTTTGCTCGCACACACACACACACACACACACACACACACACACACACACAAGGTCAAGATCACTCCTGTACTGGGCGCTGGTGTCCCATACCTGTAGTCCTAGCTCCTCAAGAGGCTGAGATCTGAGGATCCTAGTTTGAAGCCAGCCCAGGCAGGAAAGTCCATGAGATCCTGATGTCCAACCAAACACTTTCTTCTCATTCCCCCCAAAAAAATCCAGAAGTGGAGCTCAAGTGGTAGAATGCTAGCCTTGAGCAAAAGAAGTTTAGGGACAGGTGCCCAGACCCTGAGTTCAAGCCCTAGGGCCAGCGCGTGTGTGCGCCCCGCCCCCACAGATCAGTCCATAATTGGTTTTTTCCCTATGTGGCAGTCATCACAAGTTGCACACTCCATCCTCAACTCCTGCTCCAGGGACTGTGTCTCCGTACATGGCTTGTCCCCATACGCCAACTGCCTCTTTGAGGCAGGGTTTGGGTCTTAGAGTGCTCATAAAACCTTAGCTTGACACAATGGACATGCAAGCTGCCCAGGAAACCCTGTAAAAGTCTGGCCTGCCTCCCCCCAGATCTCTGAGTCTGCAGCTAGACCACCATTTCTAACTTCTGTAATCTCCACTGGGGGAAACCTGTGATCAGGCAGGAATAACACAGCTACAACCTCAAAGCGACTTGTCACCTCCATTTTCTGAACCCTAAGAGCCACACAGCCAATTCATGCTGACCCAGGTTTGGAGGCCCTCCTGTCTCCTCCTCATCCCTCCAGAGATGAGAACCGTCAAGGCAGAAGCAGAGGCTAAGCAACACTCGGAGTAAAGCCCTCCCTGCCCTGCTCTCTGCCCGAGGCAGTGAGGAGGAAGGACCTATATCCTTTCCCAAATGATCCTTTGCGTCTTTGTAGATGCAATTAAGTGGAAGCTCTCAAGATGAAATCATCCTGGAGCTGGGGAAGGTCTTAAATCCAGGTAAAAAGTGTCCTGGTAAGTGGTGTCGAGGTAAGAAGATGATACCAGATGATACCAGAGGGAAGGGCCATGTAAAGACTGACTGGCAGCAAATTAGAGCGATGCTACCACAAGCCAAGGAATGCCGGGAGCCACCAGAAGCTAAAAGAGGCAGGAAGAACCCTATCCCAGAGATGCAGCAGGCACCTGGCTCTGCCACACCCTGATTTCAGATCTTGTCTCCAGAACTGGGAGAAAATACAAGTCTGTTATTCTCGGCCACCAATAGGTTTGAGCAGACCAAATCCCCCAGCACCCTAGCCCCTCTGCCAGGAGCCCGGCCCTGAGCCATACTTTCTCCCTTACTCCCAGCTGTTTCCTGCCAAGTCCTGAGAGCTGCCTTCTAGAACTTTCTCCCTTCCACCTTGCCTGTCCCCTCTCATGTCTCCCTTATCACCTCTTGCCCAGACAACTGCGATGGCCACCAGAATGAGCCTCAAAAGTGGAGGAACTCCCAACCTCAGGCCTCACCTCAGCACCCCCAGATCCCCTACCTAGTGTTCAAGGCCTCCACCAAGGCCTTGGCCCAAACCACCACCTTTCCAGTCTGGCTTCTCTCAGTTCTATCCTTAGACCTCTGCCTCACAGATCCCTCTGCCTGGAACACAATCTACCTGCGTGGGCCCCGCCCAGCCTCTGAGACCACGTCAAGTGGCATGGCACCTACTCTACATTCCCTGATCTTCAAAATCTAGACGCTTCCAGGATACTGGGTGTGGCTGGTCCTTCGCCCATTCTAAAAGGCCATTGGCCACAAGTACCTGGTGCACCAGCTCCTCTCTGAATCCCCATTGGCCCAGCCCTTCCTTCAATCATTCAACACATGGCTCCTGGGCACCTACTTCCCCCAGCCAGGTGGCAAAACCAAGAGCCCCAAGGCAGGCAAGGGCCTGGTTGTCATGGCAACCAGGGGGCTAGTGGGTAGGACTAGAGGAATGCGTTGCACTGGAGTCAGTGATGTAGATTTGGGGGACAGTGGTTGTTTCTGCCTCCCACCCAGCGGGCATGGGATCCCCCCATCCCTTTCCTTATTTATTTCTTGTTCATGGGGTTTGAACTCAGGGCCTAGGCCCTGTCCCTGATTTTTTTTTTTTTTTCCTCAAGGCTAGCACTCTACCACTTTAAGTTCCATTTCCAGCTTTTTGGTGGTTAATTGGAGACAAGAGTCTCATGGCTTCAAACTGCGATCCTCAGATCTCAGCCTCCTGAGTAGCTAGGATTACAGGCGTGAGCCACCGGCTCCCCGGCTGGCTCCCTTTCCTTTTCTATTTTCCATTCAACTTAATCTTTTGGCCAACCATGCTGCTATCTTTCAGAGTTTTGTCCTGTAATGGATGGGGGTGGGCATAGAGGGGGCAAGCTACCTTCTCCAGATCCCTGGCTGCACACGTCTCCCTGTGTCTGGGTCCCCAGCCCCCACCCCACACCCACTGCCCCACCCTGCTCCCCGGTGCTGGGGAATCTAGGGCTGACTCACTGCCACCCACCCCAGTGCCTGCCCTCTCCCTCCAGCCACTGTCTGGCTCATCTATCTGGCGGGTGGGGGTGGGGGGTCAGGGGCAGGCAGGGCAGAGATCCATGAGGCTGCCTGAAGCCCAGCGGAGAAGCATCTCAACTTCTCCTGAACAAGAACACCCTTGTTGCCATGGTTACAGCAAAGCCCCCCCCCCGACACCCTCCCCCCACCACATACACCTACCCACCCAGTACTCACAGTGCAGCCAGGCGAGTCCCCGTGGCATGGTGGATGCTCAGGGTTCCCCGCCACCTCTGAGAGCAGAGGTGCTGGTCCCCCTGTGCTGTGTTCCCCAGAGATGCAAGCAGAGGCTACATGGCCTTGGGTCAGCCAAGGGGGCCACCACGTCCAGGAAGGGCTGCCCCCCTCCAGAGGAGCAGCGGGCAGCAGGGAGGGACAGAGCGCCCTATCTGCCTGGCAGAGCAGAGGACAGCCAGGGGGCAGTGGCCGCCAGCCCCATGGCCACCAAGGTGCTGATGGGAGCCAGCAGCCTCCCGTTCTTCTCCTTCCTTCTTTCCTTCTGAGGAGGAGGAGGAGGAAGAGGAGGAGGAGGAGGAGGAGAGTCCCCAGCAGGCCCCTCGGAATCTAGGGCTGGGTGGCGCTTTCTCTGATTTCTCTGACTGCAGCTGCTCAGTGTGAAGTCTGGCCCTGGAAAAAGAAGGAGGAGGGAGACTTGATTATGTAAGAAGCGGCGCTGCTGCTGCCACTCAGTCCCCACGCAGACAGAGGAGCCCACCTCGCCCACTGCACCCACCACCTGGCCAGGGACAGCCCGCCCTGGCGGCTGGCCACGCGGGGACACGGCTCCCACAGAGCCAGTGACTCCGGGATCCCCAGCAGCTGCATGGGGCCAAGGACGGAGTTCTCGTGACGTTGGCTGCCAGCCTTGGCCCACACAAAAGCCACCCGAGAAAGGCTGGGGCAGTGAGGTTCACAGGCCTGGCAGCTGCCCGGAGGAGGCGGCAAGGAAGGCCAGGTGAAGCCTGGGTCTGCAGGGAGCTGAAAGGCAGAAGCCGCTTAGCCCTGCTCACCTTTGGACTTAGTTCCATCCTCATATCAACCCCCAGTGTACTTTTTTTGCCAGGTAAAATACTGCTGGTCTAGTTATATTGGAATCCTAGTTAAATACTTTATGAGTGTGTGTGTGTGTGTGTGTGTGTGTGTGTGTGTGTGTGTGTGTGTGTGTGTATTTAGCACAAGTATGTCCCAAATATTGCAGGGGATAGACATGTCAAGAAAGTATTCATGGTTGCCAAGCACTGGTGACTCACTCCCGTAATCCTAAGCTACTCCAGAAGCTGAGATCTGAGCATCTTTGTTTGAAGCCAGCCTGCATAGATAAATCAGAAAGATTACAGGCACTGGGAAGGTGGCTGTTTGCACATTTCACTATAATTAAAAATGGAACAGGGGCTGGGAAGGTGGCTCAGTGGTAGAGTGCTTGCCTTGCATGCATGAGGCCCTGGGTTCGATTCCTCAGCACCACATAAGCAGAAAAAGCCAGAAGTGGGGCTGAGGCTCAAGTGGTAGAGCACTGGTCTACAGCTGAAGAGCTGAGGGACAGCGCCCAGGCCCAGAGTTCAGGCCCCACAACCGACAGAAAAAAAAAGAGAAAGATTCCAATAAACCAGCAAAAACAGAAATTGAGGCGTAGCACAAGTGACAGAGCACCAGCCTTGGGCTAAAAAGCCAAATAAGAGCAAGATGTACTGGTGGCGCACGCTTGTAATCCTAGCAACTCAGGAGTCTGAGATCCAAGGATCATGGTTCAAAGCCAGCCCTGCCAGAAAAGTCTGTGGGACTCTTATCTCCAATAAAACCACCAGAAAACCAGAAGTGGAGCAGTGGTTCAAAGTGGTAAAGTGCTAGCCTTGGACAAAAAGAGCTCAGGGACAGTGCCTAGGCCCTGAGTTCAAGCCCTACTACTAGCTTACAAAAAAAGTATTCATTGTAGCTGGATATGTTAGTATACACCTATAATTTCAGCATGCTGGAGGCTGAGGCAGGAAGATCTTAAATTCAAGGCCAGCCTGACGTATGTAATATGACCCTAGCTCAAAAATAAGCAGAGAAGAAGGAGGAGAAGGAAGAAGAGAAGGAGGAAGAGGAAGAGGAGGAGTTTGGACTACTGTCCCCATTTTGTAGATGAGGCTGAGCTGGCCAGTGGCAGGGTGAGATGCAGTCTCAGACCAGGTTCGAATCCATCCCCTTGTGCCTTCTGTTCCCCTCTGGTCAGGAGATGTGGCCATAGGTTGAGGGCATAGGATGGGAGGGACCTCTCTCTGTGGCATCCACACAGAATGTACCAGAATTGCTTGGCCAAGGAGTATAAGTCATGCTTACCTAGTACGTATGAAGCCCTCAGTTTAATCTCTAGCACTGGGAAGAGAAGGAGGAGGAGGAAAAGGAGGAAGGAAAAGGAGAAAGAATAGAAGGAGAAGAAATAGGAGGAGAAGGAGGAAGAGGAGGAGGAAGAGGAGAAGCTCCCCACCGACAGGTAGGGCCCCAGTAAAACAGAGTTGGTCAAATTCACGGATTGTTCTCAGTGTGGCACCACCTGGCCCTCACCCCCACTGCCCTTCCCCTGCTCTGCCCTTCCTTTCCTCTTCCTCTTCCTCCTCCTCCTCCTCCAACTCACCCTGGCATGATCACTACCAACAGTACCCTAACTAGGCCTTTTTGGTGGTGTTGTGAAAGTATAATTTATACGTGCAAAATTCACCTTTGTTTTCTTTTCTTTCCTTCTTTCTTTCTTTCTTTCTTTCTTTCTTTCTTTCTTTCTTTCTTTCTTTCTTCCTTTCTTCCTTTCTTCCTTTTGTCAGTTGTGGGTCTTGGACTCAGGGCTTGGGCACTGTCCCTGAGCTTTGTTGCTGAAGTCTAGCCCTCTGTCACTTTGAGCCACAGCTCCACTTCCAGTTTTCTGGTTAATTGGAAATAAGTCTCATGGCCTTTCCTACTTTCCTGGCTTCAAACCACCATTCTCAGATCTCAGCCTCCTGAGTAGCTAGGATTACAGGCACGAGCCACTGGCGCCCGGCCAACATTCACCTTTAACCATGTGCAATTCCAGGAATTTAGACAAATTCAAAGAGCAATAATCAAGATATAGAATATTTCCACTTATCCACAGAGTCCCTCCTGGCACTCTGCCGTGAACGCCTCTTCCTTCCTAGCACTAAGCAACGGCCCATCTGTTTTCTGTCCAGCACTTTCTTCCAAAATGTCACATACACGCCCTCCTCGGTGCCGCCTCACGTATCTCCCTCCTTCCACGTGGCAGGCTACACCTGGGCTACTGTCATCTTGTCACACGTGTTAGTGGGCCCCTCCTTTTCCTTGCTCTGTACTAGCCCATCACATAAACAGGTGTTGTGTGTATGTCCCCAGTGAAGGGCACTAGGGAAACTCCCAACTTTTTTTTAAAAAAAATAATTAATTTTTGCCAGTCCTGAGGACTGAACTCAGGGCCTGGGCACTGTCCCTGAGCTTCTTTTTTGCTCCAGGCTAGCACTCTACCACTTGATCCACAGTGCCACTTGGGGCTTTCTCTGTGTATGTGGTACTGAGGAGTCAAACCCAGGGATTCGTGCATGCTTGGCAAGCACTCTACCACTAAGCTCCCTTCCCAGCACACTTCCCAGCTTCTGATGCTAACAAAGGAGGCCGTGGCACGCTGGTGCTGGTGTGAAAGAATCTTCCCTCTCTCTTGGGCTCATTTAACTTTTCAGTTATGGCCCTTCATTCCACTGCACTCTGCGCGCTGCCCACGGGGCCGGGGTTGCTGCCCATCAGGCTATGCGTGTGCACAGCACTGAGAAATACACAGCTCAGCCAACCCCCCCCCCCCCCGCCCCCAGGCACATGCCACCCTGTCCATGTCCCACAAACCCTTGCGGTAGCCCCCAGCACTGAATCGCACCACACGTCCTGAGCTGCTAATCCCTGATGGAAGCAAGCAAGCAGAGGAGTGGCATCGTCTCACCCCATGCTATATTTGTACCAAGTCCTGAACCTGGCCAACCATTCATCTGTGGGCCCATTCCTGGACCTAAACCAAAATAGGGGAAGGAGAACGCCCAAGGGGGACGAATGCCAGATGCAGGAGCTGAGGACACATGGTGGAGGCTTTTGACAGGATGACAGATGGAGTCTAAAGCCTTCAGAGCTCTTCCCTGATGAATGAAGGAGGCCTTCAAGCCTTCTGCTTCCACAGCCTCCTCCAGTGCCGCGGAGACCAGGCCTGCCCCTCAGTCTCTCTCTGGGGGTGGAGAGAGGTGGATGAAGATTTTGGAAATGTGTCTCTCCTCCACACCACCCCTGGGACCTACAGCATTACCGGGAAGTTCATGTGGGCAAGAGTTGTGCAAAACAAAAAACTAGAAGTGGGTGTAGTTGTCTGCATAGCTCAGTGGTGAAGAACGTTTTCAAAGTCATAGAAATAAATTTTTTAAAAATGACTATCAATTTCAGTGAATGCTGACATGTACGGGGAGGGCCAGGGTCAGGGAGAGGGCTGGTGTGCAGGGACGAAAGGGGTAACAGAGCTGGGTCTGCCATGGAGGGAAATGTAGAGATGAGGGCTGAATGAGAGGATCCGGTGAGGGAGTTTAAGGAGATTAGAGCCATAGGTGATTGGGTGCTTTGTTTCCTATTGTTTTATTTTTATAGAACAGAACCCAGGGCCCTGCTTATCCCAGATAATCCTATAATCCTAGCCGTTCTCAAGATAGTGGTCCAAAGGCAGCTTGGGCAGATAAATCAGAGAGACTTCAATGAACTAGCAAAAAGCTGAAAATGGAAGTGTGGCTCAAGTGGTAGGGCACTAGCCTTGAATGAAAAGGTTAAAAGAGAGCTTGAGGCCTTGGGTTCAAGCCCCAGTACAGAACAAAAACATAAAAACAGCCAAGAAGAAGACAAAGGAAGCCGGGTGCTACAAGCTCACGCCTGTAATCCTAGCTACTCGGGAGGCTGAGATCTGAGGATCAGGGTTCAAAGCCAGCCCTGGCAGGAAAGTCCATGAGACTCTTATCTCCAATAAACCACCAGAAAACCGGAAGTGGCACAGTGGCTCAAGTGGTAGAGTGCTTGCCTTGAGCTGAAGAGCTGAGGTTCAGCGCCCAGGCCCAGAGTTCAAGCCCCATGACAGACAAAAAGAAAAAGGGAGGAGGAGGAGGAGGAGGAGGAGGAAGAGGAGGAGGAGGAGGAGGAGGAGGAGGAGGAAAGTCCTGTCAATCCAGCAAGGTCCTGTTTAACCTGGGGCTTCACTGTCCCTTTCCACAGCCACCTGCTCTGATCCTTCTATCCTCTACCTGAGAGCCAAGACCACCCCTGAGGGAGGGAGCAATGGAACCTGGGTTAGAATCATGGTAGTTTGACCCGAGAGCCTATGCCTGGCTCAAAAGCAGAGATGCAATTGATTAATCAAGACATTCACAAGAGGCCCCACGTGCCCACTCTCCCAGCCATGGAGCCCATCATCCCTAAAATACAGAGGTTGGAGATAAACCTGTTCTATTTCGTGAGCTGGAGGCCAACTGAAGTGAGCTGATCCAGGTTGGCCTCTGCCCCCTCTTGCTTCTGGGAAGACCTGGCCTCATATAAGTAAGCCGGGTAGCTTCTCAGAGGAGGTGTTGCTGAAGCCTGAAATA